CATGTTTCAAGTACCATCGTGAAGTGACAGGCTGGTTACTCAAAACAAAGAGCCTCCAGGAAGCCCCATTAAAAAAAATATTCCTCACCCGAGGATATGTTTTTACTCACTTTAGAGAGAGGAAGGGGGAGATAAGAGAGAGAGAAACTCGGATCGCGTGCTCTCGTGTGCCTCCTGACGGGGGATCGAACCAGAAACCCTGTTTTTGTCAGGGCAACACTCTAACCAACTGGGCCGCCAGGCTGGGGCAAGCCCCATGTTTAATTTTGAAAACTGAATCCTACACCAGATATTATTATGAAAGTAACCTTGCTGTTTGACTGAAAGCACAAAATCATAACACCACTGATCCTCTTACATGTTTACAAAAAAGCATTTAAAAAAGTAACAGAATGATAAATACTAGAACGAAGAAACCAGCAAAACATTGTGATACATGGGAATTGTGCTTCTTAGCAAAGCAGTAGAAGGCACTGTCCATTCACAAGTTACTTTTGAAAAAAAAGAAAATGGTCATTTAAAAAATACAGTTTTGCCGAAACCGGTTTGGCTCAGCGGTAGAGCGTCGGTCTGTGGACTGAAAGGTCCCGGGTTCGATTCCAGTCACGGGCATGTATGTTGGTTGCGGGCACATCCCCGGTAGGGGGTGTGCAAGAGGCAGCTGGTGGATGTTTCTCTCTCATTGACGTTTCTAGCTCTCTATCTCTTTCCCTTCCTCTCTGTACAAAATCAATAAAATATATTTTTTTAAAAATAAAATATATTTTAAAAAATAAATAAATAAAAGATCAACAGAAACTTTTATTGACTAATAAATAAGTAAAAGATCAACAGAAACTTTTATTAGAGAAAATAAAATTAGATGTCTAAAAATAAAGAAATTGTTAAATTACAATTATATTAACATCATGTGGCAGTTAGAAGAATGAGATAAATAAGAACTCCAATGACATTTTGGAAAGTGAATACACAACAGAACAGGTGTAAATATGCCACATTATTTACAAGCACATACAAATGTGTGTGTTTCCAAACTAATAATAGTGGTTCATCCAGATTTTGAAGTGTGTAAATGGGAATATCTTTCTCCTCATTATACTTTATACTCTTTTTAAGAGTTAATAATGAGGATATTACAAACTTTAAAACTGGTAAAAGGGGAAAAAATAACATGTAGTCAGGGGCTCCAAATTACAGGAGCTATTAAGCCATCCATGTCAGTTCCTCCTGCCTTTGGGGTTTCAATTCAAGAGTTTCCCATCTCACTGTGATGGAGAACTATTTCTAAGGGATTCCTTCTTTTAATAGCACCCAGAGAGCAAGTCAATGGAGGAACTGGATATTCTGCAAATAAATGTATCGTAGACATGAGAAACTGCACCAGGTATGCACTGAAACAGTGCATTCCACTCCTGGCATTCTAATGATGTAAGGAAGGTAAACAAAGATCTTTTTATAACCACTGCCGACAAGTGATTGTCACAGAGTCCACAGAAGGTGACAGATTGGAGCGGGGAGAGGTGTCTGACACAGTACTCAACGATGAAAAATTAATTACATGTGCTTCTGTGTCTTTTCAACCCTTTAAAAGCTGACGAGCTAGCAATTATGATAGCTAATGTGGCTACAAGCTTCACTGCTACTGAGATTCCAAAGTTCTTCCTTCCTACTAAAATATTATAGATGGAGAGGAGAGAAAAATACAATGCAACACAGCATTGTAGGAATCAGATGTGTTCATTCCAGACCACTTTTTTAAAAAGTCACCTGTTGGTGGATATACTCGAAACATTTAATAGCTGGGAAAGGAAAAAATAAGACCTGGTGCAAGTTTTTAAATTCTGAGCAGTATTGCTTGTGTTAAAGTAAATTTTTATTTTAACAAATTCAACTGATTATTTTTTTAAAATATATTTTATTGATTTTTCACAGAGAGGAAGAGAGGGATAGAGCGTTAGAAACATCGATGAGAGAGAATCATCGGTCAGCTGCCTCTTGCACACCCCCTACTGGGGATGTGCCCGCAACCAATGTACATCCCCTTGACCGGAATCGAACCCGGGACCCCTCAGTCCGCAGGCTGACGCTCTATCCACTGAGCCAAACCGGTCCCGGCTGAACTGATTATTGAATTAAAAAATATTTTTAATAAATTTTATAAACATAAAATTAAGAATGAGAGGTCCTTATATATTCAAGTGAAAATGATGGGCAATTAGACCTGGCAGGGATCCCAAAAACCCTATAAAAGAATTAAACATAATGGGTCATCCCAAAACTCCAAGGTTACTGGTTTGATCCCAAGTCAGGGTACATATAAGAATGCATACAACAAATCAATATTTATCTCTCTCTCAAATCAATAACAATTAACATGGAACAACAATAGTACAAGTGATCTATAATATAAGGTAGTGGAAAACACCCAACTAGAATATCAAAAGAGAAAAAGGAAGAATTTACACAATGAGAATAGTTTAAGGGACTTTTGGGAAACCATAAGTGTGCCAACATTTTTATCAAAGGAGTACCAAAAGGACATAAATACTATATAAAACAAGTATTGAATGATATGATAAAAGCAGTCTCTTCAATAAATGGTGTTGGGAAAACTAGACAGATACAAACAAATAAAAAAAAAAAGGAACTCAAACACTTTCCTACATCATATCCAAGAACCATAAAATGACCAGAGCCATAAAAATGATTAAAGATTTAGATATAATATCTTAAACTATAACACTCCTAGAAGAAAACTTATGCAGGAAAATCTATAACATCCCTCATCTTACACAGCAATATTTTTTGGGATAGGTCTCCTAGGACAAGGGACCAGAAGAAAGCTGGGATCACAACTAAAGAGCTTATGCACAAGGAAGGACACTAGCAACAAAACAAAAAGACAATCAATGTACTGAATGAAGATATTCACCACTGTTACATTTAATAAAGGGTTACTATCCAAAATTTATATTTTAAAAAACTTTATAAAGACCTCATATAACTCAACATCAAAAACAAACAATCCAATTAAAAAATTGGACAGCTTGGCTGGTGTGACTCGGTGGTTGACCCCTGACCTATGAATCTGGAGGTCATGATTTGATTCCCAATCAGGGTACATACCAAGGTTCTGGGCTCAATCCCGAGTGGGGGTAGGCGAGTATGCAGGAGGTAGCAGCCAACCAATGATTCTCTCTCATCATTGATGTCTATCTCTCCCTTCCTCTATAAAATCAATAAAATATCTATTTTTAAAAATGGAGGACCTGAACAAACATTTCTCCAAAGATGACATACAGAAGGTAAATAGGTATGTGAAAAGATGCTCACCATCACTAGCCAGTAGGTAAATACAAATTAAAACCACAATTGGTCATCACCTCACATCTATCAGAATGGTTATTATCAATAAACCATCAAACAGCAAGTATTGATGAGAATTTGCACAAAAAGGAACCTTCATGAATTGTAGGTGGGATTACAAGTTGGTGGTATCACTATAGAAAACAGTATGGAGGGTATTCAAAATATTAAAAAAAATTGAGCTACCATATACCCAAGCAATTCCACCTCTGGATATTTATCCAAAGAAAACAAAAACACTAATTCAAAAAGATATATGCTCCCCTAGGTTCATTGCAGCATTATTTACAAGAGCCAACATATGGAAGTAACCCAAATGTACATCAATAGACAACTGGATAAAAAATTTGTACTTGGCCGAAGCAGGTTTGGCTCAGTGGTAGAGCGTCAGTCTATGGACTGAAGGGTCCCGGGTTCGATTCCGGTCAAGGGCATGTACATTGGTTGCGGGCACATCCCCGGTGGGGGGTGTGCAGGAGGCAGCTGGTCGATGTTTCTCTCTCATCAATGTTTCTAGCTCTCTATCTCTCTCCCTTCCGCTTGGTAAAAAATCAATAAAATATATATATTTTTTTAAAATTGTCCTTGGATAATAAAATAGTACTTGACCATAAAAAGAAAATGCCTTGCCATTTATAATAGAATGGTTGAAATCATGCCATATTTGACTTTGTCTAACTTATTTCACTTAGTATAAGACAAATATGGCATGATTTCATTTATGTATGGAACAAAGTAAATGATCCAACAAAACAAACTCACAGATACTGAGAATAAATTGATGGTTACCAGATGGGAGGAGGTTTGAAGGGGTGGGTGAAAACCATGAAGAAATTAGGAAGTACATGTTGGCTGTTATAATACAGTCGATAAATTTGTAATAAATTACTTATGTCTCAGGTGTGTACTAGACATATCAGGATGAACACTCTAAGTTTTACAAATGTCTAATCACGATGTACGTAAGAAATGAAAAATATTGTTGTATCAACTATAATGTTTTTAAAATTTTTCCTAGAACCCAGAAAAAAATTAAAAATTTGATTCTATGAAAATTCTAAATAAATCTCACTTTGGACTTTTTAGTCAAGACTTAGGGGTGAAAGAATACAAGTTGCGTGCAGCTTCAAAGAACTGTTTTTAGATGGGGGAGGGGAAAGGAGGGAGGGAGAAAAAAACCCTGTGTTTATTTATTGAGGGGTAGCAGGAATTAATGCTATTTAAAAATATCACTTTTGTCTTTAAGGATTTTCTTGGTGTTTTTTTGTTTGTTTGTTTGTAATTCATTCACAAGATATTGCCACGCTATTGCAATGATCACAGTGCCCCTCACTTAGGGCCCTAAGAATAGAGAAGGGGGGGAAAAAATCGAAGTTGTATACAAAAATAGCCTAAAAGATGTTGTTTATATATAGTTTTGTAAAAAGAAAAAAAAACACACACACACACACAAAAAAAAACAAACTTATTTTGGTTTGTCTTGAAACGACCTTCTTGCTCAGAAATGACCAGAAAGCTCCTGCCGCCCAAGGTCACCTTCCCCGGGGCAGACAATGGTCTTTTGTGAGCCCAGGCCCCGGCCATCAAAGGAGCCATTTGTTCCTGCCCCCAGTCCCGCCCCCTGGCAGCCTCACCTGGGGTAGTAGGCCGTGTAGTTCATGAAGAGCTGCGTGCCCGCCGGGTAGTACGCCGGGGAGGGCTGCAGGGCCCGCGGGTTCAACAGCAGCGAGGGCTGGTAGATGGCGGCTTCGGTGGGGATGACCGCGGCGGGAGCTGGAAATGTGTAGGAGGGAGGAGACAGGCCTACAGAAGCAGAGAGAGACACTTTGAGACACCGGTTAGCGGCCGATGTGCGTGTGCTTAGTCCGCAGGCCATGAGGTTACTATGGCATCTACACATGGTAAAGTCAGAGAGCAAATCCTTGGGCCACCCCATGCAACCTCCTCTGGATTATGCAGACAAAACTCAGAAGTCACCTCCGTCCTCACACTCAATCAGCCTAAGGAACCGTTCTCGGTCTAAAAGTTGGGAAAGCCAGTATCATCAAACATCAGCTCAACCATTTCTTGACATGGGATTATTTTTTTCTCCCTACTATCGGGTGCCAGTTACAGCAAAAAGTTTGAGGAAAGAAACACAGGGCTGACCTTTAGTATCATTTCAAACTAAAAGCTGGGTTAACTTGGCATGATTTCCACTTTTTAAAGGTAACTCAGGTGATGATGGGGTTTGAAGCTAATCAACACTTTCAAACTTGTCAAGAAAAAAAACAAAACAAAACAAAAAACCCCAACCTGGGCACAGCCAATGTGGCTCAGTGGTTGAGCGTCACCCTATGAACCAAGAGGTCACAGATGGATTCCTGGTCAGGCCTCCACCCCTGGTAGGGGGCGTGCAGGAGGCGGCCAATCGATACATGTTTCTCTATCATCAATATTTCTATCAGTCTATCCCTCTCCCTTCTTCTCTCTCTCTCTCTCTCTCACTCAAATCAATAAAAACATGTTTTTAAAAAAATCCAACCTGGGAATTAGCCCTGAGAAATAGAAGTGTACGTCTTCCTGAGACTCAGCAATAAAAAGTGAACTCAGATTATATAGAAAATAGAAAGAATGAAATTCTTTTTTTTTTCTGGTTACCCAACTCACTAAGGGAGATGAACACTATCCAGGCCATCTGTACCCAGCAGAGAGGTAACTGAGAGGTGGCCTGAATTTAGGGTTCCAAACTATGTTTTCTGTTAATCCTCACGAGGATGTTTTTCCATTGTTTTTTAAAGAAAGTGGAAGGGAGGTGGGAGAGACAGACATCAGTTGGTCACCTACCGCACGCAGGACCCCAACCAGGGCCGGGGATCGAGCCTGCAACTGAGACACACGCCCTTGACTGGAATAGAACCCAGGACCCTTCAGTCCTCAGGCCGATGTTCTATCCACTGAGCCAAACTGGCTAGGGCAAAGTTCCTAACTTTAATTTGCCCGCCTAGAACAACCTATTCAATTTTTGCAAATATCAGAGGCATAAGGGATATAACCTTTTCACATGGAAATCTCTCTCGTCTTCTGCAAGTCTTGTGTTTCCACATGTGTATGGAGAGGAGTAGGGCAGCTGTCATATTGGTGCCCATATCAACCGCATAGTCACGTTTTGGATAGCTCGTTCATACTCACTGAAAATCGAGCTACATGTAGATGAATTTGAAAATGAAGATGCCTTGCCTTAAAAGGGCAATCAGGACAAGTTAAGGCATCAGTCATATGAAAAATTATAAAGCCTGTGTGTACTTCCTGTGTTCAAAAGTATCAAGCAATTCATTAACGACAGTGTCTCAAACCAATAAGACAGATATACATAGTAGGTATAAGTCTTTTCTGCCTTAAAACAAAGAAAAGTAGTAATTTCTAATAACTAAACATCAGAATGGAGGTGAAATTAAAATGCTCAACTTTTTGAAAAGTTAAATTTTTACAAATTAAAGTTTGCAATTTTAAAACAATGATACTTCAGCAGCACTTCTTTCCCAAGGTCAGTAAGAAACTCCTCAGTGAGGCCTAACTAATCACTATTTTAACTGTATTAGTCCTTGAGATCATATAGAAAACAATGCAATTCCTGTAAGTCTTTTGGTTGTTGTATAAATAGGCAATCACCTACGGTAAGTCGGCAGGAAAAGAACAGTCAGTCCAGAAGAACAGGCATGACGTTAGCATAAACTGAAATTCTGTCTTGAACTAAAAAATAAGTGAACTCTTTTGCTAAAATGGCAAATGGCCAGATTTTAGTTAAAATTTTATGGAAAGTATTAATAGTAAAGATGTAAAAAATATATTTAACATGTTTATTATTTTAGGGCTTGTGACAGAGAAAGGAAAGAAATGGAAAGTCTTATGAAGAAAGTGTAATGACCAGTTTTGCACCAGGAAGAGAGAAATAAATGGCATCACAGCAGAAACTGGGTTACACATGAAGGAGAAATTCCCTCATCTTATAATGCTCAATAGATTATCACTATGAGAAATCGTAAAAGGTACTGACATAATCAGTGGTTTATGGACAGAGTACATATCACTAAGATTACTTTGAGATAACTACTTATCCCTAGCTGGTTTGGCTCAGCCTATATAACCACCTTGCCTGCCTCAGAAAGAAGCAGGAACATAGAGCATTTGGCCTGCGGACTGAAGGGTCCCAGGTTTGTTTCCGGTCAAGGGCACATGTTTGGGTTGCAGGCTTGGTCTCCAGTGTGGGGCATGCAGGAGGCACCCAATCAATAATTCTCTCTCATCATTGTTTCTATTTCTCTCTCCCTCTCCCTTACCCTCTGAAACCAATAGAAATATATTTTATATATATGTAACTACTTAAACCCAATCATAAACTTTCAAAACTCGATGCTTACTAGATCAACTCTTCACTCTTCACCAACAGCAAGCAGCAGATACATGGAATATTAGCATTTAGAAATTCCAAGGGAAAAAAAGGATTAAGCCCCACTGAATATTCTATGGATAACACTTACTTATTGAAATGGGTTTCTTGATATAGATTTCTCTGTATTAGAAAGTACTGTTCTCTAACATTCCCCATTTTATTGGAATCGAGCACATAATCCAGTTTACTGTCTCCGTTATCTCTGGACCGTATTCCAAGTGCTACATGCTTTCAACATACCCGACAAGCCTCCTGACGGGTATGTTTTACTCAAAAGTGAAAACCGTCCAAAGATTCAAGTTTTAACATTCTTGACTAACCAGAACTTGGTCTTCAGACTAAAGGGCTTATTCCTCTCAAAACAGGATTCCAGATGGCTTGCACCCCGGGGCCCATGAGCAAGAGCACGGCTTGACATTAAGCACTGATCCTGCGATCCGATGGAAACTTTGGCCAATTTATTTACGCATTTACATTTTTTATTTTTTTTTATTTTTATTTTTTGCTAACTTGCTCATGCCAGATATCCTGGAGAGCAAGAGAAATGCTCCCCAGGCTATCCTATTCAAAAAAAAACGCTTAATGCTCCATAACTTAGAAATGCAAAGTGGGCGTCCAATGACCCTTCTACAGAAAGCTTCATGGGTTACAGGAGGAAAAAAAAAAAATAATAAAGATCCGGCCACACTTATTTTACCTTTAAATGCGTATTAAAATATCTACATAGCCAGGTTGCCTCCCAGAGTCAGTGCTTATCTGGAGCACACTAAGCTTCAGAAATCAAGGGCTTATCACTGGAAAAGCAAGAATATAATTGGAAAGGAGGTGTCTGCAGCAATCTCTAATCATGGGTGTCCGCAACCAAGGTCTGCAGGGATTCCCAGGTCCCGCCGCTGGCCTGGGAAAGCCTGGGTGACCCTCGCCGGCCTCGGGAAGAACCAGCCACACAGAAAGCAGCTCAAGCACCTACCAGCACACAGCGTAGAGGAGCGCCAAGACCCAAGAAAAACTTACATGGTAACTTACATGGCGGCGGGGATAAGCCATTTCGATTTAAAGTGCCCCCCATTAACACAAAGTTCATCTCCTCAGCTGAACACTGGAAGACTTCCACGTATCGGTCCTTCATGGTCTTTTTATGGCACTTCTGTGCGGCCATGAACGCTCTGTCCGCGGACTTCATCTGGATGAAGGCGTCTCCCGAGGGGCGGCCCTGAGCGTGGGGGGGAGGGAGGAGGGAGAATAAAAACAAAGGGAGACTGTCTCCTTCCACGAGGAAACGGCTGTTTTCCAAACATGCAAAGCGACCGTCACCCATGGCACAGACACTGCAGGCATCCGCATGTGGGTGGCCGTGAGAGGGGCTGCAGTCTGACCTGCATGTCACCCCCCGATTACCAGAGGGGCCCGCAGAACATGGGAGAAACGGTTCTGAGGGTTTGTGGGGAGACAGTGGTCCTCCCTGGTTTCTGATGAGGATCAGATTCGCAAAGGCTTGAACAGGTCCTCCTTGGGACCGCGGTTTGAAAGTACAGGACTGTGCACTGGTATTGGGTCCTGCCCTTCTGATTGAGAAGGGCTGATTGAGAAAAGCTGATAACGGAACCCGTACTAGAGCTTTCTGGGTCCACTAGAGCTTTCTCTGTCCTCCTTAAGGAACTGGAGGAACGAGTGCTCTGTCCATCACTGACCGCCACACCCCCTCCCCTGCTCCCTGCAGCCGAGGCTGGAATGCGGCCTGAGGCCAGGAAGGGGGACAGGAAATGGGCAGCTGCCAAGCACGGGACAGGTTGGGGAGGGCAGTGTCGCCAGCCATGCCCGGAAGCCCTTCTCTCGCCTCTGCCCACCCATCTCCATCTTAAATCTTGGTCAAACAGGCGCTGATGGTAATTTTCTCCATTACAAATAGCTTGCTAAAAATCTCCTATGTAGAACCAAGCTGATAAGATGTGTTCCTCAGAGCTGGAATGCCTCGGTTCCAGTTAGAATGGACATTTTATGAGGGGAGGAAAAAAGATGCAATCAGCTCCTAAGAATTCTTCACAGTGATGGATGTCTTTACAAGCCTCCCAGGGACTATTTCGTGCCAATGCTTTACCATGCAAGTCACCCTACGGGCTGCCATACCAGGGAAGCCAGGGACACCCCGTCCGAGAGGAAAACCCACCATCTTCGAGACCACCAAGAGCCTGCCCACCGTCTCAGCAGCATTTCTCCCAAGTGCAATCACAGAAGGTCATGTGGGTCAATGACAGGTAAGTCTACTGTTATTAGTTCAAAAGTAATAGCCTCTAGGTTATTAGAAATGGCGACTCAACGAAAAACCAAACCAATCACTGGTGGGATTTATGGGCAATTGTGGGGAATTTTCTTCAAAAGGACTCTCTCCCGTGAAGCACACGAGAGGGGACACAGTATGAACACCTAGCTGGGGTTCAGGATTTTCCGACTGCCTGGACCCAGTGACATGCACCTCCCAGGGAGGCAGGATATGGTTTAAATATGACCAAATCTCCATGTGAAAGGAGAAAGTGGGACACTAGCAGTTTAGAAGAACTAATGCAATTTCCAATGCAATCCTAGATTCCACCCATCACTGAAATCAGAAACATCTCATTTTCAAAAATGAATACACCTTTGCTTTTAATGAAGAGCTGCAGAATTTTTAATTAGGACTATTGGGTTTATAGGTTTTGAGGATTCTGTCCTGCTTATGACAGCACAAAATACTGGCATACTGTCCAGCAACGAAGATGATTAATTTTATTTAAACCTAAAATTAAGGGACACTAAGCCAGGAATGATTTTTAATGTGCTTAGAATGTATACTTGCATATCATAGAATTTGGTTAGATTTTGATAAGTTTCTATTAAGTAATTAATTCATTGATATATTTGAGTGCCTATTATGAGCACATCCTATTCTAGGTGGTACAGATACCTGTCTTTATTGAGTTTGTACATTACTGAATGTAATTTGTTATCACACACACACACACACACACACACACACACACACACGTTTTCTAAGCAGTCTACGGATACAAAATACTCTTTTTTCCACCTTATGCTTGTCTCCAAGACCTCAAACTGACAGCCACCATCAGTCAGTCAGTGTGGTGGCCGTGGGGCTGCTGTCGCACTGGAATGGAACCCGTCAGCCACAGCACGGCCACAGGTCACGAACAGCGCTGTGCAACCTGCTCCTGAACAGACAAGCTCCTGGGCAAGTGTTGTCTATGATTGCTGTCACACTAACTAAGCAGAGTTGTAGAGCTCAGAAGTTGCAACAGTAAAACGTTGCATTGGACTGCGATGTACTTCTACGTGATGACGCTGAATCCAACCCAAATTTGTATTCCCCTAACGATGACCGCACGCACCCTTTCTGGAGTTCATCCTCAAGACCTCCCGCATGTATAGTTACATCTTCCCTGCGAGACTAACTATAAACCTGAAAAACATCTGTTACTCTTTTATGGAGACTCTTGGATGACAGAAAATAAGCAGGTGCCGTTCTCACCTGGTGATTCAGCACCATGTGAACGCCATGCGTTCGGATGTCCGTGGAAAACTCGCCCAGGAAGTCCAGGATGTCCTCGATCGTGGCGGCGTAGGGAAGCCCTCGGAGGCGGACGCAGTCTCTGACGTTGGTGGGCGGCACAAACTGCTGAGGTAGAACCGGAATAATGGGCGGGGTTGGCAGTGGAATGAGAGGAGCAGCCGAGGAGAACCGATTCAGCACCTGCGCGCAAGGCGAAGCAGAAGGCACTCAGTCTCGCTTGCCAGTGCTGTCTGCAGACCAGCACGGGCATCGCTGGGGGAGGAGCCCGTGAGAGATGCATCATCTCAGCTCTAACTCAAATCTACTAAACATAAATCTGCACTTTAACAAGGTCCCCAGAGTAATTCACGGCGTATTAACGTTTGAGACGCAACCAAGGAGAAAGGGCTTCGTACTTTGCATCTGGGCCAGTGTGAGACCCACTCCTGCCAAAAGTGTGCAGCACAAATCTACTTAGATTAAGGACTTGTCTACTCGACAAACACATCTCTACCTGCCTCGGGACAAATACCCTTAACGCCTATCACTTTCGTAAATATCTAGAATGGCTAGTCATGGACTACTGTAGCAATCTATTAGTTTCATTTTATTAAGGACAATATTCCCCTTAATATTGCTTCACATTGCTCCAAATCCAAGAAGTAGCCGAAACCGGTTTGGCTCAGTGGTGGAGCGTCGGTCTGCGGACTGGGGGGTCCCGGGTTCGATTCCGGTCAGGGGCATGTGCCTTGCTTGCAGGCACATCCCTGGTGGGGGGTGTGCAGGAGGCAGCTGGTCAATGTTCTCTCTCATGGACATTTCTGGCTCTCTGGCTCTCTCCCTTCCTCTCTGTGGAAAATCAATAAAATGTGTTTTGAAGAAAAAAGAAAGGAAAAAGAAAAAGAAGAAAAAAGAAAAACAAGTTTAAGAAGTATAATAAGAATAACCCAGTAATGGAACCACAGGTAAAACAGTGACTCTGGATTATAATAAAATACAATGCCACACTTACAAAGCAAATAATATATAAAGCCAAAACATAGAATGACAATGTAAAACTGAAAAGAAAAAAAAAACAATTAGTGACCATAAAAGTAACCATTTAGCTTCCACATGAACTTTACACATGGGATGACAGAGGATCTTGACTTTTAAACACATGAAATTTAGCTATCTTGAGAATGAATCACGTCAAGTTCATTTTGGAGGAAAAAAACTGGTCCCACGCAAATTTCAAAGCTCCTGCCTATTTTTGTCTTGGTTTAGAACATGCCCACAATTTGGTAATACTGTGCAGATGCCATCTGTGGCATCCCTGGGTTTTCTGAAGAATTTACCATTGCAAACTTAATCATCCTATATACTAAAAATATAGCAATCAAGACACTCCTGAAAATTTGCCCTAATTTCCTCACTCATAGTTGCTGAGTAAGAGGTGACAAACAAACAAACAAACAAAAATCAAAGAATAAATACAGCAAATATCAGCTGCCTCCTGCACAGCCCCCCACCAGGGACTGACCCTGCCACCCGGGCATGTGCCCTGACCAGGAATTAAACTGATGATCTTGTGGTACATGGATCGATGCTCAACCACTGGGCCACACCAACCGGGCAAGATAGATACTTTTGAAACAGAATACAAAAGAATATCTAGCCGAAACCGGTGTGGCTCAGTGGATAGAGCGTCGGCCTGTGGACTGAAGGGTCCCGGGTTCGATTCCGGTCAAGGGCATGTGCCTTGGTTTCGGGCACATCCCCAGTGAGGGGTGTGCAGGAGGCGGTCAATGTTTCTCTCTCATCGATGTTTCTAGTTCTCTCTCCCTCTCCCTTCCTCTCTGTAAAAATTCAATAAAATATATATATTTTTTTAAATCAATAAAATATATTTAAAAAAAAAAAAAAAAGAATATCTATAGCAGTATTCCAGTTACATAAAAACACCTGGTATTTGTCTGTGTGTGTGTGTAGCTAACAGTGGCTATCATTTCGTTACAGAGTACGATTTTATTTTAACAACGAACAGTGTGGGGTTGGTTTCGGAAATAAGTGGAAATAATGCAAAACCACCACCATGCTCTTAAACACCAACCTGCTGAACTTCAGCTGCTGTGCTCCTGAAGAGTTCAATGTATCTTTTACCCAACAAGTCCTTATGCTTCCTCAGTGCGTTCTGTGCGTACTCCTCGCAAGCGAAGAGGACGAAGGCGTCCCCTGTGGGCCTGCCATCGGGGTAGGTGACGAAGAGGATGCCTTCCTTCCCCCCCGTGATGGGGCAATGCTGTCCAAAGAAGGCCACCACTTCATCCGCCGTGGCCGTGAACGGGAGCCCCCGCATGCGGACAATGACCTGGTTTTCCTTGGAGAGAAACTGGGCTACCTCGTTGGACGTACCTAGGAAACACACATATCAGGAAACAAGGGGAGAAATGATTAAGACTTCAACTTCAAATCTGAAATGCTAAGCTTCTTGGCAATGTCTTGAATTTGTGATGTAAGACCCACACTCCCAACTGAGTTTTTTTTTTTTAACAACAACCCAGGAAAAAAGAATTCTCATCCCACAGTCTTAAAACTTTCCCCCCACCATTTTAATAAAGCCCTGCTCAATTAGGAGGACAAACAGACAAGTCAGTTGTGGACCAGCCACCATATTCTTCTCATGGAGAGGCAATGAATCGTCATGGTGGTCAAGGGCACAGGTCCCGCGGCTAGAATGCCTGGGTCCAATCTTGGCTTTACCATTTTACAAAGGTACTAGGACTTACAGAAATTTAATCTCTGTGACTTAGAGGCTCATCTATAAAATGAGGGTAAAATTACTATCTCATAAATTATGAGTTATTATATATAAAGTACTATAGTGATTTTTGTTATTATTTTCTGGTTACTTATTAAGAAAAATTAAAACATACTCAAGTACAGAGGATAGTATAATAAATATACTTGGCAGTTAGTTTCAACATTGATTAACTTTCTGCCTAACAGAGCATTTTGTACAATACGGCCATGTAGCAAATACTCAAATGCACATCCTTCAAGCTCCTACACTAGCAATATTTTCCCTTACGTATACTGCTCACATACCGAAATACTAGGCATTAAACTGAACATTCATGACTTTGCCATCAACAGCTTACAATGTTATCTATCATAGGAGCTCAGAATCTCATCAATTCAAAATACACTCTATCCCCAACCTGTATCAAACATTACTTTGGGAATTCTGGAAACTCTTGAAGCTCTAAATTTGGAAGCCGTTGTTTATCTCAAGAAATAAGTTCGAGCCGGCACCGGTTTGGCTCAGTGGTAGAGCGTCGGTCTGCGGACTGAAAGGTCCCGGGTTCGATTCCGGTCAAGGGCATGTACCTTGGTTGCGGGCACATCCCCAGTAGGGGGTGTGCAAGAGGCAGCTGGTCGATGATTCTCTCTAATCGACGTTTCTAGCTCTCTATCCCTCTCTCTTCCTCTCTGTGAAAAATCAATAAAAATATATTAAAAAAAAAAAAAAAAAGAAATAAGTTCGAGCCGAAACCGGTTTGGCTCAGTGGATAGAGCATCGGCCTGCGGACAGAAAGGTCACGGTTCGATTCCGGTCAAGGGCATGTACCTTGGTTGTGGGCACTTCCACAGTAGGGGGCGTGCAAGAGGCAGCTGATCGATGACTCTCATCAATGTTTCTAACTCTCTACTCTGTATCTCTCTCCCTTCATCTCTGTAAAAAATCAATAAAATATATTTTTTTTTAAAAAAGAAAAATAAGTTCAAAAACAGACTTCTACCAGCAAATGGTGTAAACAGGATGATGATGCTACTACAAGTTCTACAATTGCAAAAAAAAAAAATTTTAATATATTTTATTGATTTTTTACAGAGAGGAAGGGAGAGGGATAAAGAGCTAGAAACATCAATGAGAGATGTGTCCGAAACCAACGTACACGCTCTTGACTGGAATTGAATCCGGGACCCTTCAGTTCGCAGGCCGATGCTCTATCCACTGAGCCAAACCGGTTTCAGTGTGCAAAAGGCAGCTGATCGATGACTCTCTCTCATAGATCTTTCTATCTCTGTATCTCTCTCTCTTCCTTTCTGTAAAAAATCAATAAAATATATATTTTTAAAAATCCACCCACATTCTTTGAGTCAGCTGTCCTACTTTTATTTTTCTTTTATTTTTTTAAATATGTTTTATTGATTTTTTACAGAGAGGAAGGGAGAGAGATAGAGAGCTAGAAACATCGATGAGAGAGATACATTGACCAGCTGCCTCCTGCACACCCCCTACTGGGGATGTGCCCGCAACCCAGGTACATGCCCTTGACCAGAATCGAACCTGGGACCTTTCAGTCCGCAGACCGACGCTCTACCACTGAGCCAAACTGGTTTCGGCTCAGCTGTCCTACTTTTAGACATCCATCCTGATGAGTGGCACAGACCTAGGCACAAAAATATTCACTGTAACATACTTAGAGTGAAGAGTTAGACATTAGCTCTAGATGCCCAACAGGGATGTTTAATAAAAATGTATGATACAGAAAAATCTCTTTGGTCAATGGGGGAATATGTATTACTATTTATATTATTTTAAACAATAACATTAAATTAAAAAGTTAAGGGGGGAAAAAAAATCTCTTGAGCGGAGAAATCAAGATGGCGGCATAGGTAACCGCCTAACTGCAGGCTTATACAACAATTTCAAAAAATACAACTAAAATATAAAGTGGACATTATCCAGAACTACAGGAAAGATGACTGACTGGAAATTCTACAACAAGAAGGAAAGAGAAAACCAGAAGGAAAATCAGAGGAGCTGTAAAAGCCTAAGGTACGGAGACACGTTGCATGAACATAGAGGACGGAGCTGGAGAGGAGGGGCTGTTGAGTGCCTGGCTGGCATTCCCTAGCTGGAAGGAGATAAAAGCTCCAGTTTTGACAGCACTGAACCCCAGTTCTGAGCGACCCTGGGGACCCAGACACATAAGGAGGGAATCTGGGCTGTAAGGTGGAAGCTCAGGGGAGCGGCGAAAGGCAGAGCCCCCGAGTCACACACATTTCTCACAGAGGACAAACTGTTGACTGAGCCGCTGGATTGCCCTAGCGGGAAGGAGACATAAGCTCCAGACTGCTCTTAACCCCACTTCCAACTGCACTGAATCCCCGTTGGGGGCTCTCTGGAGGAGAGACTAGACTGTCTGGTAGTGGGCGAAACTCTAGGGCACCTTTCTTTCAGAGGTGCTTGCAGCGAGTACCAAAGGACACTGAGGAACACTGAGACTCAGGAACCTCCGGCGGGGCTAACCGGAAGCCAAGGCTGTAGACTCCACCCTGAAACTCTGCCCCATCCAAGCTGAGGCTCTTGCAGTTTTCCAAGTCTTGTTGAATAAGGCTGTCTCCTGGTATAATTACAGCTGACCCTCCCACCCTACCAACTCAGGGAAGCAGCGAAAATGCCGAGACAAGGAAACAGATCACAAATGAAAGAAATGGAGGACAAAAGCGACTGGACATAGAGTTCAAAACCACGCTTATAAGGTTTTTTTAAGAATCTCCTAGAAAAGGTCGATAAAATAAACAAGACCTATGTAGATATGAAAAGGAATCAACTAGAAATAATAAAGGATCAACTAGAAATAAAGAATACTTCTCTGAAATAAAAAATATTATACAAAGTTCTAAAAACAGAACGGAAGATCGCAAGAATCAAGACAAAGATTTAGAACACAAAGAGCCAGAGGACACTCCTCTGCAGAAGGGAGAAGATAAGAGAATACAGAAAGTTGAAGATAGTGTAAGAAACCTCTGGGACAACTTCAAACGAACCAACATCAGAATTATGGGGGTCCCAGAAGATGAGAGAGAGCAAGATACTGAAAACATATTGAAAGAAATAGTGACAGAAAACTTCCCCCACCTGGCGAAAGAAATAGACTTACAAGTCCAGGAAGCGCACAGAACCCCAAACAAAAGGAATCCAAAGAGGACCACACCAAGACACATCATAATTAAAATTCCAAGAGCAAAAGACAAAGAGAGAATATTAAAAGTAGCAAGAGAAAAGCAGGTAGTAACCTTATAAAGGAGCACCCATACGATTGTCAGCTGATTTCTCAACAGAAACCATGCAGGCCAGTCAGGAATGGTAAGAAATATTCAAGGTGATGAATAACAAGAACCTACAGCCAAAAATATTCTACCCAGCAAAGCTATCACTCAGAATCTAACGCCATATAAAGAGCTTCACAGATAAAAAAAAGCTAAAGGAATTCATCACCGCCAAACCAGAATTATATGAATTGCTGAAGGGGGTTCTTTAGGAAGAGGAAGAATATATAGATAAAAATTATGATCAACAAATATGTAACTGTCAACAAGTGAAACTAAAGGCCAAGAGAATTTTAAAAATCTGATGATCAATATTAACTGGTGAATATAATATCGATAGAACCAAAGGTATGAAAGGGGAGTGGACTGATGATTTCTCGGGGAAAAGAGGAATGGGGGATGTGGGAAGAGACTGAACATAAACTGTGCACCTATGGATAAGGACAGTGGGCGGGGGGGGGGGGGGGGGGGGGGGGGCAAAGGTTGGGGTGGGAACTTGGTGGAGGGGGAAAAAATGAGGAACTTTTGTAATAATATGAACAATAAAGATTTTTTAAATAAAAAAATGTATGATACATATAATACTGAAAAGTAATTAACATTTAAGAAAACTGAGTAACACAGGAAGATAGTCATTAAACTAAAAGGAGCAAGGGAGTTATAAAGCAATCTGAACAGAGCAATAGAAACATACAGTAGTTATACATATAGAAAAAGAAAATCTGTTGGACAAGTCAAAGTTAACATTTTTTATGCATCTGTTATTTTTAGGTTTTCAAGTTGTAAGTCACCCAAGAATTGGATAAAGACTTAAAACACGCCGAAACCGGTTTGGCTCAGTGGATAGAGCGTCGGCTTGGGGACTGAAGGGTCCCGGGTTCGATTCCGGTCAAGGGCATGTACCTTGGTTGCGGGCATATCCCCAGTAGGGGGTGTGCAAGAGGCAGCTGATCGATGACTCTCTCTCATCGATGTTTCCAACTCTCTATATCTCTCCCTTCCTCTCTCTACAAAATCAATAAAATATATATTAAAAAAAAAAAAAAAAGACTTAAAGCACATATCCTAAAATGCCAGATGCCAGAAATCTACCATAGTCATGGCCATTGATGAATTAAGGAAATTTAGAGAAAAACTAGAAGCAGATATGCAAGAATTCCAGGTATTCTACTTGGCTGTTTAAAAGTAGTTTTCAGCCAAAACCGGTTTGGCTCAGTGAATAGAGCATCAGCCTGCATACTGAAAGGTCCCAGGTTCAATTCTGGTCAAGGGCATGTACCTTGGTTGCAGGCACATTCCCAACAGGGGGTGTGCAAGAGGCAGCTGATCAATGTTTCTCTCTCATCGATGTTTCTAACTCTCTATCCCTCTCCCTTCCTCTCTGTAAAAAATCAATAAAATATATTAAAAAAAATAAAGTAGTTTTCAGACTACCTAATTTCTTTTAAGAACTACTCTCCCTTTTTACATGAACTTTATATGACCCATTCACTTTGTGTACCGATTTTTAAAAATCTATTTTTATTGATTTCCTAGCCATTGAGCCAAACCAGTTAGGGCAGTGTGTACCACTTTTTAATGGCTACTTAACTCTAGTTGTTTGACTCAAGCCTTAGAGCAAGTGTTATGCATTACATTTGCTGATACTATTGGACATTTTCTCCCTCCTATTAAAAAAAAAGTTGATTTCTAGGTTTCATTGGGAACTAAAAACTATTCAAGACACTGTTTATCTAACCTTGGCATATAGTTAAAAGTTTTAGACTCTTATGATAGCCACGTTTTATAAAAGGCACTCACCACCAGCGATTTTAAGAAAATCTTCACCTGTTGCTTTGTAAACCTAGGGAAAGAAAGGGAAATTAAGATGTGGTTTCTGAGCTTTCTCTTGTGTGTGTACTCAGGATGTCAGGGTCCCAGGCAGTGAGGACGTACCTCTATGTACCGGGTCCCCATGTGGTGTTTGTGCCTCTGCAGGGCGAGGTCTCTGTGCTCCTCGCTCACAAATCTCACCAGCGCCTCTCCGTTCCTCCGGCCCTGGGCATTCAGACAAAGCGCTGCGCCTCCCCTTTGGAAAGAACAGAACAGGGAGCGGGAGAGAGAGAGAGAGAGAAAAAAAATACAGTCAGGGGAAGATGATACGCAGCCCATGATCCCTTTGGGATTGTTTTTTTTTTTTTTTTTTTTTTTTTTCCTTTGGGATTGTTAAGTAAAACCGAGATTGGAGAAAACCCACTTGGCAATATTGAGTCCTTTGAAAAATCTTGCAATATCCTGATCCGAAGACTGCCATGGCAAACCCCGGGCTCTGACCACCGTGTTGTCGTCAACAAGTTCCATCTTGCTGCTGTGGATCAAGCAAAACCTCAGGTTGCATGACTAACGTGAGGGAGTCTGACCCATGACCCCCGGTAAGACAATTTGCCTAGTTACACATGAATTATTATTTTATTTTATTTTATTTTTTTTTTTTTGGAGTTTGGACAGACTTTTAATATTGCCTCATTTACTGTGTAAAATCAAAGATTATCTGGGCACAACTCAGTTATGTCTAAGTGGCTCACAACAGAAAGACAGCCAGCGCCCCCTGCAAACCCTCCATCTGCTGAGTTGCTGCGTGCCTGCCGTCCACTCCAAAGGACCCAGGATCGATTCTCAGAGAGCAGAGTTCTCCCCATATCCTGATGGCTTGTCAATTCCAGAGCCAAGAAGGGCAGGCTTACATTCATTCTCAGAACTGGCCGGTACCCCAGCGGGTTTTGCTCCCACTTTGATAGCAAAATATATATAAGGTGTGCCATAAAGCGGACAGTTAACCCCCATCAGGAATATGCGTGCACGGTCACAGCCGTTAAAGACACTTCCTCTCTCAAACAGGGGAGCCACCACAGAGCACGGAGTGTTGATAGAAATGCCTGGGAGTGCCCACACCCCATTAATGAGTCATTTGCAAATCACCTATGATAGGTTTTGACATCTTCTGATGTTCTAGTCCTCCCACATTCATACTTTCAGTCCTCCTAGGACATTTTCCTAGTGAGTCACTTTCTCTGCAACTTAATAGGCCTCCAGTCTCTCTCTGTGGGCAGAGACGCCAGAAGTTTCTGTTCCTGTCAGGTACCAGGCGATCTCACACAATTCACCGCAGAGATTTACAAGCTGAAATCGGCCTGCCTGTGATCGCAGCGGAGATACCACCGTCTCATACTCCTCCCCGGTTATTTCCTCTGCTTTAAAGTAGAAGCTGACAGGACATACTTGAAATTATCTCAGGAAAGACCTTGTGAACTCTCTGAAAGCCTATGATTTCCCGCTTTGGAAGTTTTCCAGGGAGAGACTGGATAGTTCAGAGAGGCCACAATCGTCACAGGCACACACATACGCTACTGTACACAGGGTCCTATTTCATTGCATGTCAATCCTGACATCCAAACACACTTAATGATAAACCTTCTTCCCTGAATGACCTGGTATTGAAAAATGGACAGCCAGCTGAAACCGGTTTGGCTCAGTGGTAGAGCATCGGTCTGCGGACTGAAAGGTCCCAGGTTCGATTCCGGTCAAGGGCATGTACCTTGGTTGCGGGCACATCCCCAGTAGGGGGTGTGCAAGAGGCAGCTGGTTGATGTTTCTCTCCATTGACGTTTCTAGCTATCTCTCTCTCTTCCTCTCTGTAAAAAACTCAATAAAATATATATATAAAAAAAAAAAAAAAAAGAAAGAAAAGAAAGAAAGAAAGAAAGAAAAAAGAAAGAAAGAAAAGAAAAATGGACAGCCTGCCGGGTCCGGTTTGGCTCAATGGATAAAGCGTCGGCTTGGGGACTAAAGGGTCCCGGGTTCGATTCCGGTCAAGGGCATGTACTTTGGTTGCGAGCATATCCCCAGTAGGGGGTGTTCAAGAGGCAGCTGATCGATGACTCTCTCTCATCAATGTTTCTAACTATCTTTCTCCCTTCCTCTCTGTGCAAAATCAATAAAAATATGTTTAAAAAAAAGAAAAATGGACAGTCAAAGTATAAAGGGAGTTACATGTCACAAAAATGAATAAAACCAACTGAAAGGCTCAAACACTTACCAAGTGCCGCTTTCAAACTTGTAATGGACTCTCTCTGGGTCTGAAAACCTGTGATCTAAAAAATGAGAGCACACACGTCACCATTTTAGCGATGAGAGAGATAAGGCCGTGGAAGGAAATTCAAGAGTATAGGTGAGGATCGAATTCTAAATGTTCGTTGTGACGACAGCGATACTTACTATAAGGCTCTGAAATCATCGCTATAATTATATTCCCCATATCTTCAACTTGAGAGGCTCCATACCGGGACGCTGAACTATTCTTCTCAAAATTTAAACCTGGCAGATTGAGTCAAGGACACATTTGGGGGAGGTAAAACGAGGTTGATTCTAACTTCAAGGGAAACACACAGAGCTGAGAAGCGAAGTGAAATGTTACCCAGATGGACAATTCTTAGAAATCTCAGAATACCTGCATTCCACCAGTCTGGACTTCACCCTCACTTCCTGAAGTCTCCCACGCTCTCCTGCGTAAAAATGGCCAAATAAACCCTGTCCTGAGGTACTACCGGCAACAAAATTCGTTTGTTGAATAGTAAATGCCTCAACTCTGAGACTTTTGTTTAGTTTCTCAAACCATGAAGCATTCAACAAAATTTACAGAACTCATCCTCTGTATCATCACAGCACACACAAGGTAAGGACTATGCCGTTTCAAAGATATGCTTTCATCCGTTAAGATCATTTAAAAAATGTTCAACATCACTATTGGAAAAACTGAAGTAAAAAAACAATCAAAACCATAATGGTCACCTCACATCTGTCAAAACAGCTATTATAAGGGAACTCTCTCATACACTGTTGGTGGGGATGTAAACCCTTGCAGCCACTATATAAAAACCTAGATGGCAACTTCTTAAAAAATTAAGAATAGAGCCATCATATAACCTACTAACAGCAATTTAAAAAGATATATGCACCCATTTTCATTGCCAGAGGGAAATGAAACACCGGAGGGAAAAGGGTTAGGAGGAGGATAAAAGGAGTGAAAGGGATAGATGGTACTGTGATGGGTGATAACTGGACTCACAGTGGTAAATATTTTGAAATGTGCATAATGTGCACAAATATGGAATTATAATACAACAGCCAAGGTATGGAAGAAACCTAGATGAAAGGATAAAGAAGATGTGGTACATAGTATTATTCAGCCATAACAAAGAAAGACATCTTGCCCAGCTGGTGTTGCTCAGTGAGTGAGCATTGATGACCCATGAACCAGAAGATCACGATTTGATTCAATACCTGGTCAGGGCACATGCCCAGGTTGTGGCCTCAATTCCCAGTAGGGGGAGTGCAAGAGGCAGCCAATCAATGACTCTCTCATCTTTAATGTTTCTGTCTGTCTCCCCTTCTCTCTTCCTCTCTCGGGAAATCAATATATGATGGAAATCGTGCCATCTACAACAACATGGAGGGGCACAAGGTACCATGTTAAGTGAAATAAATCAGGCAAAGAAAGACAAGTACCATACAATTTCACTCATTTGTGTAATCTTAAAGAAAACAAATAAGCAAACAAAACACCATAGATTTCAGGGAAACACCGGAGGGAAAAGGGTTAGGAGGAGGACAAAAGGAGTGAAAGGGATAGATGGTACTGTGATGGGTGATAACTGGACTCACAGTGGTAAATATTTTGAAATGTGCATAATGTGCACAAATATGGAATTATAATATTGTAGAGCTGAACTAAATATAGGTTTATATACCAATTTTATCACAAGTAAAAAAACTAAAAGAAATAAAATGAAGACAGTCTATATTTAGGGTGGTGGCTATTAGCATATTTACCTTATTTTATCATTTTCTGACTGGTATTTTATAAGGATAAAATATGAAGGCAGCTATTAAGAAAAAGTTCTTAGAAGAGGACATATATAATGTTAAAACAATTTAGAGAGCCCCTGCTGGTTTGGCTCGAGCTTCAGCCTACAGACTGAAGGGTCTTACATTCTATTCCAGTCCAGGGCACATGCCTGAGTTGTGGGTTCAATCCCCAACAGGAGGCAGCTGATCAATGATTCTCATCATTGATATTTCTATCTCTCTCTCCTTCCTTCTTCTCTGAAATTAAAAAAAAAAAAAAAAAAAATTTTCAAAAAAATTCTGAGAGCTCCATTCCACCAATCGTTAGAGCCAGTCATCTAGAGTTAATTCAATGAGTACGCCCTTTTCCGTTCTCAAATCACAATCCCCTTTCCATTTCAACCCTCCTCCCGTCTCCTCCTGTCTTCCCTCCTCCAGTAGACACCTTTCATCACTGTCCCACCCCGCCGGGCAACTCCATTTTCCCGCTGTCCCTCCCCAGCTGCGGGCCTCTGAGGTCACATAGGCCACGTGGACGAATGCAGCCATGTGGTCTTGGCAAGCTCCTTAACCCCACTATGTTTCAGCTTATCTGTAAAGCATAAATTGTTATCATCTTTAGTTCCCTGCGGTTGGTTCTTTGTTTTGGTGTTTTTTTGGTAAAGGTGAAATGAGATAAAGCAAGCCCAGAGCTCAAAGCAGGCATTTAATAAGAGATACCTTTCCCCTTTCCTCCTAGAGCCATGAGATGACTAACTTTTCCCCATCATAACCCATTCTTTCATCACATTTTTTTTTGAGGGTCAAATTTAAGACTAAAAAAATCTGAATTCACCAGATGCCTATTTGCACACTCCTAAGATAATCATCAGGTTAAAATGGTAAATAATTTCTGCAACACACACCTGCGCAATCACTCCCTTTACATCATCTAGTGATGAAACAATAGAAGGATTAGAAAGATCAATCCCAGGAGATACCTGAGCAACAGAGCAATGACCACCTAGTGGGGTCACTAAAATGGTCAACTGTGGAAAGGCTATACTATCCTATATGATAAAAGGGTAGGTAATATGCAAATTGACCCTAATGGCAGAACGACCAGAACCACCACTCAACCAATCACTATGAGGCACACTGACCTCTTGGCCCCTCCTCCCAGCTGGCAGGCTCTGATCACCCCATGGCGAACGGAAACGGGGTGGGTAGTGAGGGGCAGGGGAAGATGACCCTGATCACAGGCCAGGCCTAGCGACTGGACCTGCGCATGAATTTCATGCACTGGGCCTCTAGTCTATATATATATATATATATATATATATATATATATATATATATATATGTGTGTGTGTGTGTGTGTGTGTGTGTGTGCGCGCGCGCGTGTGTGTATATATATTTAGTAATTCTGTGCCACTTTCAAAGAATATGGTAACAGGACAGAAAACCAGAATCAAAAGATAAAGATCTTTTAAAGCGATGACTCCACTCAATTTTCTGTGGAGGAACAATGCGTCAGAAGGACTACTTTAAGGATCCTCACAGAACTAAGCAAGGTCAGCTGCGCCGAGCCAGTTTATCCCACAAACTTCGTTACTGCTGAATAATCGTTTGGAACCCTACCATTCTAGTAGGGTCACCTTTTCAGCCTTGTCAGAAATGAGTGGAGAGAAAGACAACCAAGAGATGGAAACCAACCCAATTGGATGAGCCAGTTTCTCAACCTTGGCACTGCTGGTAGGTGGGGCACAGACTCCTTTCTGTGGGGAAGGGGTTTCCTGTAGCGTCCTGGCTGCTACCCACCCTGATTATGATTAAATATTTTATATTAAATATTTCTCCAGACATTGCTGAATATCTTCTGGTGGGCAAAACCCACCCCCAGGTGAGAACGACTGGTGAAAGCTAACAGTTCCTAATAGCTCCTCCACCTTCCCCGCTTCCCCATGGACTGAACTGTCCAAAAAAGCTCTTTCATAGTAAAGGCCATTCCTGGACAGAGATCTTAAAGAACACTGACCAGACACCAGCTATTTCCTCCTATTTTTGCAATAGCCCTGCCACCAGCAACACCACACCGATAAAGAAGCAACTAGAATTTGGAGATGTGCCGTAACTCACCCAACCTCCTAGCTGGTAAGTAAGGGAGCTGGCATTGCAACACTCCTCTGAGGTGACTGTGGGTACTCGATTCCCTGCACCAAGACGCTTGGCCTAATTTGTTTTGAGCAATACTTCGTGGTGAGAAGCTTTCCACACGTACAGGTGAGAGCCAATAGAGAGCAAACATAAAAATGTCAAGTATCCTTTGTAGGCACGGATTTGCAGCTAACGAATTATTTTACTGAATTCTACTTTTTAATTAAGGGCGTGTTCTCACAGAGGTACGTTACAGCACAGGGAATACAGTCGATAATATTGCAGTGACTATGTTCGAGGCCAGATGGACATTTGAAACGTCAGGGAGACCACTCTGTAATGTGGTTTTCTAACCACTGTGCTGTGGATCTGAAACTCGTACAGAATAACGCTGAGTGCAAAATGTAATTGGGGGAGGGGCGTGTCCTAGACATTTGTCCAACTTGGTTCCGCATAGCATGTGCCAACCTGTTTCTCCTCAAGTCATCACACAGCTCTAAGCTCCTAATTTCTAAAAGTCACCTAACCCCCTGCTTACCCACACTACCCCCTTACACACACACACACACACACACACACACACACACACAGCTATTTTCTCCTAGTTTGGGAAGGCCTGTTCCATTCCTAAGCCTTACCAGCATTTAACAGGAACAAATGGAAGGAAGTGAGGAAGAAGCCTGAGTGCCAGGCCTTTCCCCTATCGATGTGTAATTACACATTGAACGGCTGCACGTCTGATCTTGAGGGAAGGCGAGATGAGTCTGTGCCTCCTGATTTATGGCTCGTCATGCAACTTACTCATCCTGCCCCTGAGGCAGCTCCGACAGCACCAACAGGCTCGGCCAGCTTCTCCGAGGAGGAACGCAGCGAGGGAAGGAGGGAGGGCAGAGCCACGCAGGTGGGAACACACCTAACGTCTCAGGCTAACGTCCAGCAAAAGGCCACGCTTACACGGAGTTTAACAGTCCAGAGGCCTTGCCTGTATTTGAACAAGGGAGTTATTTTCTTCAGGGCCACCTTCAGTGACACAGATTTCCGGATGTAACCCACACTTTTATTAGCTCCGAGCAGAATTCGGAGAGAGCGATTTTACAAAGTGCATTAGCTTATCCACTCCAAAAGTTACCTTCGCCAACAGCCTGAGAACGGACAAATGTGTTTACAGAAGATGCAAGGTATCTAAATACCTTGTTAAACCAAATGTTCAGTTACTACCTAAGGGAATCACACATATAAAACGACACACTGTGGGATAATGATGTTTTAAATTCTATACTGCAATTTAAATACCATAAGTTATAATTGCGCCCCAATTCAAAATTTCAACTCAA